CTGACAGACGAAGGTTTGGTCAATATCATAGAAAAATTGTCAAACCAATTCATTCAAATTCTTTTCCGTTTGAATGACACTTCCCGTTGGGGAAACTATAAAATATTTAGCACATTTCCTCGTTGGATGGGAGGCTGTCGCAGGTTGAGGTTGTCAGAAGACTTCTGATGTTGGTTCTGAGACAGAACAACAAGAGACGTATAATTGGAGTACGTTCTCATACCTTATTTACCATTTTCTTGAACAGAAAGAATATTTAAATTCAGCGTCGATTTTATTGCAGATACTATAATGGCCATGCCCGAAGACCTCCGTCTTGTGTACGAGGTTTAGTGACAATTTTAACAATTGCTTCAGATATTATATAATGTTCAATCAAATTTTGACAATGAGGAGATATACAGTTTAATGAAGATAAAATTGTGTACTCTTCTCGCTAAATGACGGCAAATCATATACATATAAATACAATTCACATTATCAAATGATAGATTTGTGTTGTTGACAAATAATCCTCAAAAACAGTGTAGTTCTAAGATCTGGTTGTTTCGAGAGTAGTATTTATATTAAACATTAATTGCATTTTATCTCTTTCACGTCACTCGAATTGCATACTAATTTCCTGTATAGGGATGATTTGTTAGTTCCTTCACATCTTATCCAACCCACTCAGTATCCTGTTTTTGCATTAGTTTGTTTTTAAAACATTAAGTTGTCATAAAATGTGAAATCTACAATAAAATTAAAGCAGTAAAATAAATCGGTTTGAATGGAACCTAATACATGAGATGTGTAATATTTTCCGGTTTAAAGGTATATTCCATGAAGTTTTCATACATTCTTCCAGATTTCGGAGGACCCTTATGCTGTTATACATACCCTGAAACAAATACATGTATACCCAACACAACCCATGGAAGTCTAGAATGTGTGGCAAGTCTAGATTAAAATGAAGAGGGTATCTGGGCTGCCTTTTTATTTTAATTTAAAAACTTTTATTTTCTGTAAAATATGGTCATTTCAGAGACTAGCTGTTAGTCTTGAGGACCCCGTACTCCAACACAACCACAGGCAGGTGACTTATTGTTGGACTCATGGGGAAAATATGCTGGTAAAACATGGGAATTCGTGCAGCCGCTATTTGCATGTATGTTAGTCTTGCATGACTCTATGTAAAGGTGATGTGATTAAACTAGGTTTGTCTGTTACGCGTGAACTGTTTTATACGCTTCTGGTGGCAAAACAGAAAAGTCCAAGTTTCTGGTTCGTTGCTACTAACTCGTTGACTTGGTTCCTGATTGAAAATCACATCACAGGCATTGACATTACGAACTTTGTAATGAGCCGAAGCCATCGGCAAACCTTCACGAAGACTACCGATTGGTTTAAATGAGAAAGAAGGTTAAATTCAATATTTCATTTTGAATGTGAAAAGTTTTTTTCATTCGTATCATTTATGAGACTCTCACACCCTGTGGGAGATTCATCACTTTTGTCACTGTGAAGTAAACCTGGCACTATTCAGAAGGCACTGTTGATAAATCTGCTAACAATGCTGTATTTTACAGATTTCATTCACTTCTCTGGAAATTAACCTAATGACTGCTGGCTCGTCCAACTATTGACCCGTGGGTTCAGTCACGACGCCACCTCACACCAGGCAATCAGGACGATGCATGCTGCCCATAGTCATAGGCATGTATGGCGTCATCATCTCTCGCATACTGCCATCGTTTGGGGTTTATAGTTTCGTGGAATACATAGGGGATTGCAAACGTACATCTAAGGTACAAGCTGATAGATCCAGCGTATATGCAAGTTTTACAGATGGGTATTTTACGACCGCTTTTATCAGTTGTGAGTCGCCATTGTGAGACACGAGTTCTGTCACACCGTCTCAAGTCCCAGACAAGACGATGTACGGCTGTGTGTCGACTTTACGATATGCGGGAGTTACGAGTATTATTCTTACATCACAGTGTGCAACTTTGGGTGGAACGATTTACCTGACGGAGGTTGCAGGTTCTCATGCATTTTAGATAAACATATAGCAACAGCAATAACAATGATAAACATAATAACAATGATGACAACATGTTATTACTTTCTTTATTATAAGCATCGTACGTTAACCAATGGCATTTTCGTACTCGGGAAGAAACAGTGTTTTAAACACATAGTTATAAGTAAGGCTTAATCGCTTTTAGCAAAGGACCGTGTCGTGTCCAACCGAGAACACATTGTCACATATTTCGAGCACCCATTCCGCGTCTGAAACACCGGCAACGAGGGACCAGTACTCCTCCATGATTATTATGAATCTGTTGATTAATGTTTGAATGTTAAAATGTCGGAGATCGCAGTGATGAAATTCATTGCAACCATACACACACATAAACCGATTTAAGTACGCTCGAATAATCGCGTTTTTCATAAAAATACTAATGCTGAAAGAAAGTCTCATATGATTACATGTATATTTAGGTCGAAATCTGGATGTGACTTATATGAACATATAAACGTGCCTTCGTACATTTCTTCTGAATGATTAGTCATGCCGACAATGTTTCTATGGGATTAATGTTTCTACCTTTGTTGTGAAACAAGTACTCGCGTAATTAATACCACCAGTGCAAAGAAGCAGATAAATTAATACATTTTGAAGGGTACGCATTAAACGGGTAGTTTGCTTACCATAAACAGCACCCGGTCTTTTAACTATCGCTCGTTTGTGTAGAAGGGGCGACGGGCTAGCCTAATGGTTAAAACGTTCGCCCGTCATGCCGAAGACACGGGTTCGATGATTGAAGTCCACATTGCTGGAATATTGCTAAAAGCGGCGTAAAACTGCACTCACTCACTCGTTTGTGTGGTAATGAAAGTCATGTGTTGTTAAGGGATTTTAAATGTATTCATTAAAATTGTCCGTGCTTGTTTAATACAAGGCAATGTCTGTAAAATGGAAAGCCTGTTCGGATTAATCATACACACTTACTCCGGCACTTTTATCATAAATTGTCTGTCTTCCAAACATATCGCAGTAGCAGGGATTGGTGGTGTGGATTTGTTGAAGATCAACCTTTCCTGTTGGTGAAGGCAATACATTACAATAATAACTCGGGTATTTGCTATTTAATTTTCGTGCCCCACACTCCGACACAACAAGCCGTACATATAGATTTGATCCCAGGTCTTACTCTAATCATAAAGTGCAGGCAGCGCGTCCTACGTCAGTTAAATAACGACTTGGATATCGCCCGGGCGTGTGTTACGTCGCACGGAGACCACGTTCTTTGTCGTCACGTGACGGGACATCATAATATCCAACGACTCTCGTCACTGTTCAGCAAGAAGGCCCAAATCCCTCAGATCTCTCGATACAAAGCCTCTCGAGTCTTGGTTGATCTCTTGACTTTCAGTTTACCCCTCTTGTTGTGGCGGAGTGTCGAGTCAGGCCCATGTGTCACTACCTACACATTTAAGACACGTTTTGCTGGGGGTATTTGCAAATAAGACACTCCCTCTCAATCTGGGAAGATTTAGACTGTCTTTCTGTAATCGACAAACGTGTCCATACGAGACTGGGGATAACTCTCCATTTTTCTAATGGATTTAGGACAGGCGGGTTAACCCACGGGCCTCGATTTGCCGTGACACTGGGCAGACCGTTGTTATAGTCACATCTGAAACTGTGAATGAAACTATGGAGGGGCCGTTGATGAACCTCAGCGGGTCAAATCCTCAATTAATACCAAAATATTTGCTTAATCCTATTAAGCTTGCTACTAAATTGGCAGGACGCCCATCTGCGTTGATGATGAGGACCAAATTGATGGACACTTGTAATGTCCGTAAAACAAAGACAGTTAACAGTTAGAACTAGACGCAAACGTTTATTGAAAAATATATTACAGAAACTGTTCAATTATGTTTGACACGAAAACCTTCTCTTGCGTATTTTATCAGGAACGTTGTTTATTTCTCGTCCTCGTCCTCTGAAATGAAAAAACCCCAACATGTACAGCACTATTGTTGAAATATTGATAAATACATGGCTTTACTATTTACACTGTTTGCGTTTTATATGAAGATATGCGAGCTGTGGGCATATATGCATTCCTCCATATTTCATTATTACAAAGAAGCGCAAATTATGAAGAACTGACTTCCCAATAACTGCATAATTTTTTCACAATTAAAAGTATCACTAAACTACTACACTATTAAAAGCTTTATTACTATTTCCTCTTACGCCGACTACAAGAAAAGCCAAACAATAATTCGAAAGTGATCCTCTGCCACCTTTTTTCGATTACCACGAAACTCAAAGTTTCAAAATCACATTTGTTGATTATATAATATAGGTTAGTCGAAGTTTAACACACGAACATGTCCGTTGCTAAGATCTTAATAGTGCTCCCTCCGACAGTTGTTACCATTAATACCATTTCTAGATGACTACTTCAAATCAAAGATTAATCATATTTTCTATCTGTGCACGCAAACACACACACACGCACACGCACGCACGCACACACACTGTGAGGATGTCGTCCCTCGTTAAGTAGATCCAGATCACAAACCAGGCGGCTTGTCGTAAGAAGCGACTAAAGGGATAATGCTCACTGATTTGTGTAATGAACGTCATTATATCCCAACGATGCATATGGTGTAATTCATTGAATTATCGACACATATGCCACACCGGTATTTTGTCAGTGACGACCGTAGGAACTGTCGATAACTAAGATATTTACCTTTATCGACTTTAATCATCAACCCCATTATTCAATAACTACACTCTAGACATTGGGGAACATGATTTCAAACGACCAGCAGTACAAACCGTAGGACGGGAGAATGGGGAGACCGTCTCCAAAAGGGACGTAAGCGTGTAAGATCCCTCTGGATTATTGGCAGTTAACCCAAGCTGCTTGCTCAATATAGAGTAAATATACACGTTGAGTCCAAAACATGAACTAACGACCAACAGTACCAACCGTAGTACGGGAGAATGGGGAGTCCGTCGCCGAAGGGGACGTAAGCGCCGTGCAGGTAGCAGTACCATTTGAGCCAGACAGACAGCTCGTGGTAGAAAATACGGAGGTAGAAATTCTGTCGACTCTCTTCCGGGTTGGCCTCAGTCAGTAGCGGGCAGCTGCAATCTTCGTATGCCTTGATGGAGATCAGAATCTCCTCACAACAGTCCGTAAGACACTCTGAAATCATACACAGGCAGACACTACTGTAACACTTATAGGGGGACTACTGTCATACACACGTAGACTCGACTGTAACACTTAAAGGGGGACTACTGTCATACATACGTAGACTCGACTGTAACACTTAAAGGGGGACTACTGTCACACATAGGCAGACACTACTAGAACACTTCAAGGGGGACTACTGTCATACACAGGCAGACACTACTAGAATACTTCAAGGGGGACTTCTGTCATACACAGGCACACACTACTATAACACTTAAAGGGGGACTTCTGTCACACACAGGCAGACACTACTGTAGCAGTTAAAGGGGGAATTCTGTCATACACAGGCAGACACTAAGTAACAGTTAAAGGGGGACTTCTGTCATACACAGGCAGACACTAAGTAACAGTTAAAGGGGGACTTCTGTCATACACAGGCAGACACTACTAGAACACTTCAAGGGGGACTTCTGTCATACACAGGCAGACACTACTAGAACACTTCAAGGGGGACTTCTGTCATACACAGGCAGACACTACTAGAACACTTCAAGGGGGACTTCTGTCATACACAGGCAGACACTACTAGAACACTTCAAGGGGGACTACTGTCACACACAGGCAGACACTACTGTAACACTTAAAGGGGGACTTCTGTCATACACAGGCACACACTACTATAACACTTAAAGGGGGACTTCTGTCACACACAGGCAGACACTACTGTAGCAGTTAAAGGGGGAATTCAGTCATACACAGGCAGACACTAAGTAACAGTTAAAGGGGGACTTCTGTCATACACAGGCAGACACTAAGTAACAGTTAAAGGGGGACTTCTGTCATACACAGGCAGACACTACTAGAACACTTCAAGGGGGACTTCTGTCATACACAGGCAGACACTACTAGAACACTTCAAGGGGGACTTCTGTCATACACAGGCAGACACTACTAGAACACTTCAAGGGGGACTTCTGTCATACACAGGCAGACACTACTGTAACACTTCAAGGGGGACTACTGTCATACACAGGCAGACACTACTGTAGCAGTTAAAGGGGGACTTCTGCCATACACAGGCAGACACTACTAGAACACCTCAAGGGGGACTCCTGTCACACAGGCAGACACTACTGTAACACTTCAAGGGGGACTACTGTCATACACAGGCAGACACTACTGTAACAGTTAAAGGGGGAATTCTGTCATACACAGGCAGACACTACTAGAACACTTCAAGGGGGACTACTGTCATACACAGGCAGACACTACTGTAACAGTTAAAGGGGGACTTCTGTCACACAAAGGCAGACACTACTGTAGCAGTTAAAGGGGGACGTCTGTCATACACAGGCAGACACTACAGTAACAGTTAAAGGGGGACTTCTGTCACACAAAGGCAGACACTACAGTAACACTTAAAGGGGGACTTCTGTCATACACAGGCATACACTACACATTCGAACATTCTACACATTCGAACCCGGGTCATCGGCATGACGAGCGAACGCTTTAACCACTCGGCTACTCCTACGTTCCAGGTCAGGTGGTGAGGCTTTGAAAGGCTTGGTAAGGCTTGGTTTAGCTTGGTTCACCTTCATAGTGGTCGTTGGTGTTGCTGACAAGCCTTTGGGCATCGTTAACACGTGGTTCAAAAAGTGTAATTAAGCTCATGGTAAAAGACAGAAATGTTGTTTAGGAGTAATAGTTATAAACATAGGCTATATTCCTTTCTTCACCTCACCTATACATACATCCCAGATACAGACATGTCCGAATCTCACTCAGACCTTTCACCTCTCATTGCAACATTGCAACAAGGCTGACGTTTGTGCCAACTAGGAAAATTATTATAATACGCTATGCATATTCCTCCCTGGGGCGTTCATTTTGAAAATGTGGTTAAAGCTACATTTGTACGTCTTCTCACTTATAAATCGTATATATGGTAAAAACCGATCTATTATTTGGGAGTATTGGTCATCACAGAATCAGCCATGTTCTTCATCTTACCTTCACATTCTACAATAGGGTCAGTAGGGTCAGACTCAGGGCAGAGACTGAAGATAACAGCTGAATCCTAACAGCAATACTGACGTTTGTGCCCACTATCCAAATCATTATGAAACACTATGCATATTCTATGCATTAATTTTTAAATTGCAGTTACCGTTGTATGTAACCGATCTATTATTTGGGAGTACTGGTCATCACATAATTAGCCATGTTCTTCATCTTACCTTCACATTCTACAATAGGGTCAGTGAGACATTCGTTCGTGGCAGCGTTGACCATGTAGACGTTGATGGTGATGAAGACGACGAGGAAGAAGAGTGTGACTTTCATGACTGCAGCTTAAGAATTACCTCACCTGATGAACACGGTTGTGAGACATGAAGTACAGGTGTACTTATACTATATGGGCTAGCCTTCAGTGGAAGGTGACATCTGACCACAGCCCGTTAGAGCTGCTGCTCGGTATCCCGGGCGCCGGTTACGTAATGTTATTAAATCCGGAATAAGGAAATTATATTTGGAATTAGAAAATCACCACAGGGTATCACACTTTTGATATTTCAATTGTGAAGTCGAACCTGTGGATATAATTGTTTATTGTCATAAGTATTAAGTGCAAATGGTTTTATGCAATGTCCTGGCAATATTACAGTGGGGGGGGGGGGGGAAACAAGATATGGGCTTCAGACATTCTCCCCACATGGGGAAGGGCGGTGGGGTAGCCTAGTGGTTAAAGCGTTGGCTCGTCACGCCGAAGACCCGGGTTCGAATCCCCACATGGGTACAATGTGTGAAGCCCATTTCTGGTGTCCCCCGCCGTGATGTTGCTCGAATATTGCTAAAAGCAGCGTAAAACCAAAACTCAGTCAGTCAGTCCACGCGGGGAAACAAACCCTGATCTTAGGCGTGACGACCGAAAGTTTTGACCACTTGGCTACCAAACCACCCTTTGTCATAGATATGAGACAAAAGAGGTGAGGTGAGGTGAGGTGAGGTGAGGTGAGGTGAGGTGAAATTGGGTTTATCGTCGTGCTTGAGAATATTTCGCTCATATGACGACGTACATGCGTATGTGTATGTGCGGCTGCTTGTACTAGCCCAGACTGAAGCTGGTTTTATAGTGCTAGCCCACTGAGATACCATGCCGCAGTGAAGCATGACTACCCCACTCAGACACATTATACTGACTCCGAGCGGACCAGTCCTTGCTGTACCCATTAATGCAGAGCGCCAGGCAGGGACCAACAAGTACCATATTTTAACGTCTTTTGGTATAACGCGGTCCTTCCGCTCTCCGGGCGGACGCTTTAACCACTACACCACGGAGGCGATTTGAGACAAAAGATACATATATTAGTACAAACTTGACAGGGAGGGACATTCACTTTATATTATATCCATACATACGTTTAATATTTGGGGCGCTAATCGTTGTTATGCATGTACGTATCTTTGAAGGAAAACAGTGTTATAAAAGTAAACATTAGTGTCTCCTGTCTTAAACTGCGACAACAGAAAATGTTAGAAATGCAAAATGTGTTAGTAACATCGACCAAGTGACCATTTTCACAGTTCTCAGAAGCATGTTTATTTTTTTTTTCAAATTCAGACCAGCAAGAGAGTGTTGTTCTAATTGATATGGCGCAGCTGGATGCATCACAAGTCCATATTAATCATGTTTAACTACACTAGAAATTACCATCGCCAGATTGTTGCCACGTTGAAGCGGTCAAACCCACGACAGACCAAGAATCGCAAGGTCACGTGTGACCTTTCTACACCTGTGCGAAATTCACCTACCGCGTTCCTGAATGCGATGCCGTGTGTGGCAAGTGCTCATGCACTGTGGAGAAGATCACTCAGCAGAACGTACAGCTGTCAGTCCCCATCGTGGGACAGTCCTGGGACCAACAGAATAAACAAAACAAAGCCAAAACATCATATAATGATCTTTGCAACTTTCCAGTAGACACCTCACCCTCATTTCTATCTCCAGCCTTCGGTGTGCTCTCTCTCAACAGAGCGCCATAAGACGCGTGATAAAGTAGGAATGGAACAATCTACTCATTGAGGAAATGTCTTCTGTGCATCGGAAGAGTTTTGTTGCTTTTATTACAATAGTTCGAGTTCAATACACTTCACACAGGTGACCCCGTGCTGACCAAATCATGACCCAAGCTAGGACTGGTTAACTTCTTTGAATGGCATTTAGAAGCTGGTGTTATGAACAACGGGGAGAGTTCTGCGAATATACAACTTCTTTATTTGTAATATGAGCGACGTTTCGGTGTAGCTACTAACACCGTTATCAAGCAAGTTAACGTTTTGGTGTAGCTACTGACGCCGTTATCAAGCAAGTCAACGTTTCCGCGTAGCTACTAACACCGTTATCAAGCAAGTCAACGTTTCGGTGTAGCTACTGACGCCGTTATCAAGCAAGTCAACGTTTCCGCGTAGCTACTAACACCGTTATCAAGCAAGTCAACATTTCGGTGTAGCTATTAACACCGTTATCAGCAACTCAACATTTCGGTGTAGCTACCAACACCGTTATCAAGCAAGTCAACGTTTCGGTGTAGCTACTAACACCGTTATCAAGCAAGTCAACGTTTCGGTGTAGCTACTAACACCGTTATCAAGCAAGTCAACGTTTCGGTGTAGCTGCTAACACCGTTATCAAGCAAGTCAACGTTTCGGTGTAGCTCCTAACACCGTTATCAAGCAAGTCAACGTTTCGGTGTAGCTCCTAACACCGTTATCAAGCAAGTCAACGTTTCCGCGTAGCTACTAACACCGTTATCAAGCAAGTCAACGTTTCGGTGTAGCTGCTAACACCGTTATCAAGCAAGTCAACGTTTCGGTGTAGCTCCTAACACCGTTATCAAGCAAGTCAACGTTTCGGTGTAGCTACTGATGCCGTTATCAAGCAAGTCAACGTTTCGGTGTAGCTACTAACACCGTTATCAAGCTAGTCAACGTTCGGTGAAGCTACTAACTCCGTTATCAAGCAAGTCAACGTTTCGGTGTAGCTACTCACACCGTTGTCAAGCAAGTCAACGTTTCGGTGTAGCTACTAACACCGTTATCAAGCAAGTCAACGTTTCGGTGTAGCTACTAACACCGTTATCAAGCTACTCAACATTTCGATGTAGCTACTGATGCCGTTATCAAGCAAGTCAACGTTTCGGTGTAGCTACTAACAACGTTATCAAGCAAGTCAACGTTTCGGTGTAGCTACTAACACCGTTATCAAGCAAGTCAACGTTTCGGTGTAGCTACTAACACCGTTATCAAGCAAGTCAACGTTTCGGTGTAGCTACTAACACCGTTATCAAGCAAGTTAACGTTTTGGTGTAGCTACTGACGCCGTTATCTAACACCGTTATCAAGCAAGTCAACGTTTCCGCGTAGCTACTAACACCGTTATCAAGCAAGTCAACATTTCGGTGTAGCTACTAACACCGTTATCAAGCAAGTCAACGTTTCCGCGTAGCTACTAACACCGTTATCAAGCAAGTCAACATTTTCGGTGTAGCTACTAACACCGTTATCAAGCAAGTCAACGTTTCGGTGTAGCTACTGACGCCGTTATCAAGCAAGTCAACGTTTCGGTGTAGCTACTAACAACGTTATCAAGCAAGTCAACGTTTCGGTGTAGCTACTAACACCGTTATCAAGCAAGTCAACGTTTCGGTGTAGCTACTAACACCGTTATCAAGCAAGTCAACGTTTCGGTGTAGCTGCTTACACCGTTATCAAGAAAGTCAACGTTTCGGTGTAGCTGCTAACACCGTTATCAAGCAAGTCAACGTTTCGGTGTAGCTACTAACACCGTTATCAAGCAAGTCAACGTTTCGGTGTAGCTTCTAACACCGTTATCAAGCAAGTCAACGTTTCGGTGTAGCTACTAACACCGTTATCAAGCTACTCAACATTTCGGTGTAGCTACTGATGCCGTTATCAAGCAAGTCAACGTTTCGGTGTAGCTACTAACACCGTTATCAAGCAAGTCAACGTTTCGGTGTAGCTACTAACACCGTTATCAAGCAAGTCAACGTTTCGGTGTAGCTACTAACACCATTATCAAGCTACTCAACATTTCGGTGTAGCTACTAATACCGTTATCAAGCAAGTCAACGTTTCGGTGTAGCTGCTAACACCGTTATCAAGCAAGTCAACGTTTCGGTGTAGCTCCTAACACCGTTATCAAGCAAGTCAACGTTTCGTTGTAGCTGCTAACACCGTTATCAAGCAAGTCGTTCATATTAATAATAACGAAGTTCTATATGACTTTCTTGATGACGTTGTTAGTAGCTTCACCGAAGCGTCGCTAATATCAATAAAAAAGAAGTTGTATATCCCGAGTACTCTCTCTGTTGTTTAACACTGCTTGACCAATATCTGCCTTAACCAATATGTTAACTCCTTTTTGCCATACTTCAGTTGACCCATGTTTCAAACCCTGTGGTGTGGTAATTTCATTAAATGATTCAGCCATGAAAAAAACATTCCGATATGTAAAATACACAAGGCATCAAATAATTGTAACTATGTATGGTAATACTTATAAGAGAAAATTAACATTTGATTGCTGATATTCATAATTTATATTCAATATAGCTGCTTCTTGGTAACTTTTGACATCTCTTTACGTTTCTTTTGACTTAAGATGCAGTATATACAAATGGCTCAATGGCAACTAAACCTACCATAGTGCAGTGTTAAAGCAATATATATGGGTGTTGTGTTTCTCCTACTTTGGATGGGGTAGGAAGGGGCACTGACTTCGGTTTGTATTTAGCAGGAGCGGAAGAGCATACTACGGAGCAGGATAAGAAGCCATCTTCATCCCGGGCGGGCAGTTTGATTTAAACATATTTATTCAAGAGAATGGATTGGGTACAAGTTATGCCAACTTAGTGAAACCCTCTCCTATTTACAGTGCTTACATGCAAAAGTGAAACAAACTATATGTACAGGGATAGGGCAGTCTCACAGCTAAAGACTAGTTGACCAATACAACTACATTGTATACCCTCAAAGGGAAAATATATTACCCTTCCCAAATCTCAGTGTTTAGCGTCTATCCCTGGAATGTTAAAACTGCAAAACAACAATTACCATCATTTCCACTTTTATTGAACCAACGTTTCTTGCGAAACAGTGCAGCACTGTTTTAAAACAATATAATTGATGATACTACAGCAAAACGTGTGTAACACTGAGGTCGTTTTCACAGGGGAGCACATAAAAATCACAACAGAAGAAAAATAAAATGCATTCGGTTGGTCATTATAAAGTATGTGTATGTGTGTCCGTCTTCAAGAAATGTTTTAAC